GGGCGGGGCCGGCGGGGAGCTGCAGCGGGCGGCCCCGTGGCGGGACCCCGGTCTGTCAGCGGTGCCGTCCTTCCCCTTAGCGTGCTAGCACTGCTCGGGGGTGAGCAACTGGGAACGGCGTGTAACGGGAGCGGGGGCGAGCCTGGCGGCCTCGGGCGGAGCCACACCGGGACGGGGCCGTCCCCGGGACGGTGCCTTCGTTTTGACTTTATCCGATGTCGCCCAGTTCACAGGCTCGGCCTTCGGGTCCGCCGCCATCTGGCAGTATGAGTCGCTCAAGTCGCGGGTCCAGACCTATTTTGAGGAAGCTCGAGCGGACTGGCTGGATAAAATACGGCCGCAGAAGAGGGGGGACTTCCGAAAGCAGGTACGCGGCGCCCGGCCCGGCCCGTTGGCACACGGGTGGGTCCCTGCGGCGGCGTGAAGCGTGGCCGCGTCTTTCCCCTGGCGCAGGCACGTCTGCCAGCGCCGTCTGTACAACAGATACTTGCCCAGTTTATCCTGCTTTTTAACTTGGAGAAATTACAGGTTCTCAGCAAATTACGGTAGATACATTGCCTTACAAGAAAAACTGATAGAACTGGTTCTAGAAAACTGTAACTCACAGTATCACTGCAAAAGCTATACTGGAGAAAAATACCACCTTCACCCCGAAAAGCAGGGAAGAGAGGTCAGTGTAGTAGTTTGTATATCTAAACTAGGTTCCTTTTACTCTTTCACTATAAAAAAAAATTATTCTTGCTATGTCTAAGTGTTCTCAAAAGTGAACATGAACTCTGAAAGAGGACAGAGCTAGCTTAAATTCTGAACCGTAAGCATAACATTTTTTAATGCTCTGGTTTCTGAAATGCATTCGTATTTTCAACCTGTACTTCATAAATATGAGGGTTTAGAGGGCTTTTTTTCTTCATGAGAGGTGACGTTTCCATGCAAATACTTTGGAGTTTGGGCAGTAAGAACAACATGAGTGCTGCAAGAGTTCTTATAAATTTAGTTGATATCCGGAAAGTGTCAGTCATTCAGTTTTCAATTAAGTGTATTTAAAACTAAACTAAACATGTATCTGTGTTTTACGTTTGTTTCAAGGTTACTACTGTGGCTTGTGATAGACCAGGCTTGATTACTCTTTCAGGTCTGCTTGTCCAAGGGAATTAGGGCTGAGTGTGGAGCTGGAGAAGCACGGGGTCCTGGGTAGGACACAGAGGAGCTGTTTTTGTAATGTGTGTCATGTGCACTGTGGTACTTCTTTCGAAATGGGCATGCGTTGTGGGTTAATCCTGGTGGGCAGCTGCACACCACACAGCTGCTTGCTTACTTCCACCACAAACCCCCAGTGGGATCGGGGAAGAGGAAAGGAAAAATAAAAGCAAGAAAACTTGGGGTTAAAGATAAAGCAACAACCAAAAAATTGTTTAATAAGTGAAGGATAAGTGGGAGAAGAGAGAAAAAAAACAAAACAAGTGATGCAAAGGCAGTCACTCACTATCCGCTGTAGGCAGACCAATGCTCAGCCAGTTCATGAGCAAAAGATGGCTAAAAGCCCCTCTTTTTCCTTTTATTGCTGAGCATGACATGATATGATAGGGAATATCTGTTTGGTTAGTTTGGGTCATCTGCCCGGTTGTGTCCCCTCCCAGCCTATTGCACATCCCCAGTCTACTCACTGCAGGGGCAGAGTGAGAAACGAAAAGGTCTCGATGCTGTGCAAACACCGTTCAGCAAAAGCTAGAACATTAGTGTGTTATCAGTACTGTCTTGGTCAAAAATCTAAAACACTGCACCGTGTATGAGCTGTTATAAAGAAAATTAACTCTGTCCTAGCCAGGCCCAGTACAACATGCTGGTGAGATTATGATTGCCACTTAATATTTTAAGTAATTTTGGTTTTATACTTTTGTTTTCCTTCAAAACCTGAAGGGGAAGATCTGGTGATTAGCTATCCAAAAAATAAAACAAAACTGCCCTGTTGTTAATAGGCCTAAACTTCCAATCCCCATCTTCAACTGGTAAATTCTATTTTTAAAAGTTCAGGATCCCCCAATAGCTTCTGAGGGCATCTGCTTCTTGTATTTTAGAAAAATCATGTTTGTTAGTGTTCTTATACTGGAGAACTTTGTAGGAAATACCAGTATCTGTATCCTGTGCCAGAGAATTAAACAAAAAAAAATACATTGACATTGTTATTTCGATATCAAACAGTGAATGATTTGTTTCATACAGCATTATTTCCCCCTACCTCCAACCTACGGATAATTTTTATGACATTGTCCCCATCAACATGGTTGGAAGGTCATTGAGCTGTCAAGAAAATATTTGTGCAAAATGATTCGGAAAGCTGAGGAAGGGAAAGGGGGGTGGAACTTGTCTGTGGGCTGACTGCGCTCAAAATAAACTTTTTCAGGGGTTTTAAACTTGGAGGAGGGCTGGGTGAGCTGGACGCAAGGGGGAATGGATTCCACATCTTGTGAGCCACCTCTGCAAAAGTGACCCTGGCACAAAAGTGGAATCTCTCAAAGGTGGGTGGTGTGATGTTGGACAGCATTAGGGTGAGGCTTAGTCGAGGCAGAGTTTATGCAAACTTTGGCCAATCAGCTAAAGTAAGCAATATGGGCAAGGTCCTTGTTTAGTACAAGCAGAGGTAAACCCATGGAGTTGTGTAAAAGCGTATAACGCCATTCTTTTTGAAGAAACTCTTCACCTATGTTGGGATATTTTATGAAAAGGAAGGTAGATAACTATCCTTAAGTAAGGAGATGCCAACTTGAAAAGCTAAACCAATCAGAAATAAACAAGTCTGAAACTGATTTACTTATTCAAACAAATGCTTTCCATTCTTAGAAAGGTAGAACCTTGTGTGACTGTTTTTGAAATTGCAAATACTCTGCAGTGGCACTGATGTACAACATTTCCGTTTCAGGTTAACAGCTGGTGGAATAACCTGACTGAGGGTCAGCGGACTGTGACAGGTTTGTGTTAGCTTACAAGTATTAGACATTCACAGGAAGAGAAATATGGCAAACAGGTACAGTATGTTGAAACAAATGGCTTTCATACAATGTTTGGGTTGCTAGGCACAAAGCATGTGTAAACTTACACCTGCACATACACTATTTCTGCTACATTTCCTTCTCACGAACTATTTTTCGTATGCATTAAAAAAAATTCTTATGTATCTGTGTGAGAGAGAGTGGAGGATTAGCTAGAATCTTCCCCCGGCAACATTCTTCTCAGGTACTGTGAAAAACAGCAAATGCTTTTAGGAGGAATATGAGTCTATGTTCCACTGATACCTAGAAATAAAACTCCCTGATAACTTTTTGCTACCTTACATACATAGTATTGCAAACAAGAAGCAACTATCTTGTGAGCTTTCCTTTGGTCATGATGTAGTTTTGATTGGTTAGCCTAACATCACTTGAAACCCCCAAGATAAATGTAATGTGTGGAGAGAAATTGATGAGAACTTGATTAAAATCTAAATAAAGTAGCTAAGCTATATCTGCTCGTAGATACTCTACATGCTAACAAGTCCTGTCAAGAAGCTTTGTACAATGCTTTGAATTGCTCCTCAACATGCAAGCCAAGTCACGATACAGACACAAATATTGTATTGGGGCAGGGGGGGTGAACATTCATATTCTGTAGTCCCTAGAGCATCCCTCAACATTGAGTTAATCTAACAGCGATATAAATTCTACCTGGTAGACCCTGAGCCATTCAGATACTTAACCCTGATTGCCATAACAAGGTTGGGCTTACTGTACTGAAATTGCTGAGAGTTCTGTAACATCTTGGTGTAGCACGCAGGGAAAACATTTCCTCTAATAAAAGAGCATGGTGGAATAGGATGGAGCGCCAAAAGAAGAGATCTGTTAAAATTTTTGGTTCTGGAATTTACGTATCTTAGCTTTTCACAGTTCTTACATTTTGTTGCAAACCTGCAATAGAGAGTAATTATGTGACATTTACCATTCTGTAAAGGAAGCACAATTATTTTCCCCTTCAATGTTTATAGCTATTATAAAACATTTTAAATACCTAAATGCTTGGTTAGAAATAGAGAAGGTACTTTAAACAAGAAACAATAACTTTGCATTATTATGTTTCTAATTATTTATATTCTTATTTAAACTGAAATAAGATTGCAATAAACATCTGTGAAGTAAAAAGCTGTGCGTTTCCTATCTCCCAAAGGTAACTATGCCTTAGCAATGCCAACTCAACTTTTTATGCCCAATCTCTAAACAGTATCTTTACAATTACCTCAAAACCAAACCTCCCCAGAAAACGGAATGGATGTGTACTGTGTGTCTGTATGCTTCCCCTAGCCTCCGTGCGCAGTTAAATGCAACTGTGCAGCAGATTGATGGCATTTGGGAATAAGCAGCTAGAGAGGCAAGAAATGAGACTTAAACTGAAACGAGACTCTTAAGCTGGCTCTTGTTTCATTGGTTCTACAGTGGAATGGAAGCTTGAAACCATAGCTTGAATGTCTTAAGTACAGATTTTCTGGATTGTTGCATTCATTCATTACATCATACGTTAAAACAGTTGCAATTAAATGTCATATTTCTGAAAGGCTTCCATTATATAAGTATAGTTTTCAGTATTTTTCTTTGCTTTTTCTAAACTCTTCATAAAGTGGATACTGCTTTTAATGAAATAGTGAAGAAAAAGTATGATTCTTGTAAGCTTACTTTTGAACGCTTGTTTACAGTAAGCATTATGGCGTGTTACATTCATAATCTGCTTTTATACTGTTTTTTCCTCTTAATAGGTATTATAGCTGCAAATGTCTTTGTATTCTGTTTATGGAGGCTGCCTGGTATGCGACGGATTATGTTTACATATTTCACCTCAGATCCATCATCCAGTAAGTGAACAGTAATTTAGGGGACGTCTCTGCATTGGGATGTAGTAGAACCTCTGATCATACTGCAAAAGCTTCAGGTGGCACATAGCTTGCTTGCAGCTCCATCACCCACAGGCAATCTCAGCCATGCCCAAATACATCATTTTGTCTAGACAGAAAACACTTCTAGGGGAAAAAAGTTAGAAGTAATGGATTAAGGAAGAAAAACTCACTGGTGCTTTTCTAAATATTGTAATGTCAAAACTGTTGCCTGCTATCTGGCCTTTTAATGCATCCAGTGGGATGCAGCTCCTGCCTTTGTAAAAGCGAAGAGGCACTTCTCCAACTGATATCACTGCTTCCCTGGACAGAATGCTAATCATGCCAGTCTTTGGGAAGGAGGAAAATAAATCGTACTATGTAATGCCATTCAAAAACTAGTCTCAAATGTGATTTTTTTTTTCTTTCTTTAATGTTCTGTGGGATGCAGATAGAACAGTCATCAGTCACATGCATGTGCGCTTTCATCAATAGACAAGCGTTGGTCTGTATGTTATGTACGGTGTCCTTGTTTCAAAGCTGTGCTTTGGGTCACATTAAAAATAAAAATAAATAATTAAAAATAATTTAACAATTAAAAATAATTAAATAATTTAATAATTAAAAATAAAATCAAACAAACAAAAAAAACCTAGCTTTCACTGTGTGTGAAATGTTTTGAAGAGCAAGTTACTAGTAATACTAGTATTTGATGGCAGTATAATTAGTTTCCATTTCTACAGTAGAGAAAAGCATTGGAAGGATGAGACAAATGTGTTAGGAGAGTACTTTTCTGCTGTCCTCTTAGTTTCTGCTGAAAAAGTGGAAACTGAAACAATTCCCCACGCACACTCCAAAGCTAAAGATAGCTATTACCCAGATCTGAGCATCAGTCACCCCAAACACTCGTTTTAAATAATGTTGACCTTTAAACCTGCTAATTGGTGCTTTTGCATTTTCAAGGCTGCTGTTTCAGTGAGGAGAGCTAGTAGCTTTTTGAAAAGAAAACAAGTTTTCCTTTGAGTCCATCTCTGTAGCAAAATAATTTTATATAGATGCTCATACAATATATTAAAAATCTTTCACCGTATACATATATAAATAAAATCTCTTTTTTCCTTTCCAAAGCATAGGAGATGTGTTGTAAGATAAATGTTTTCTATGAAACATTCCCCAGTAAGTAATTAAAACTTTCTAAAGTAGCTGTTTGTACAGCTTGCATATCTCTGGGTATATGTTCTATCTTTCAAAAGGTATTTCATGGAACTTGAAATTTGTTACATTTCTCGGTTTATTATGTAGCTTGTATTTGAGAATTCTAAACATAATTAGCCTATAGTATGTCTTAATAAATTTCTAGTCTGCATGACATGTAAGTTAAAGCAAATTAAAACACTTTTTTTTTTTTCATTGTTTTTCTCTTTTGTAGGAGCCCTGTGTTCTCCCATGCTGCTCTCTACATTCAGTCACTTCTCTCTGTTCCACATGGCAGCAAATATGTATGTCTTATGGAGTTTTTCCAGCAGCATTGTCTCTCTTCTGGGATGTGAGCAGTTCATTGCAGTGTATCTTTCCGCTGGTAATGTTAAATACATATATATTTACAACAATTAAAAAATATAAATATATATTCATGCAAGTAAAGCGTATGCATGGTTAATAGATGTATGATGACAGATGGCCATCGTTCAGTCCCACACACTGCTCTATACTAACTGCAGAACTTATTTGCTGTTATAAAAGTTTTGATGGGTTTAGGATATTTGGCTTCAAAATATCATGACAATACAAGTATGTGGTTTTAAGTCATGCTTAGCTACCAAAATAAAATAGCTCTTAATACAGCCTCATCGGAGTTTCATGGGAAAAGATGACAGTTAATTCAAGTTAAAGCAAACACCTGCCCCCTCCTCCGCTCCAAAAAAAACCCACAAAAAAAACCCAAACCAAACCACCTACACTAGCTTCTTTAGGAATATGTACAGATAACATTGTTGTACTTTCTGATGCGTGTCTGCATTGCTGGCATTGTTTCCAATAGTAATTTTTCCTTTCTAGGGGTTATCTCCACTTTTGTCAGTTACGTTGCTAAAATGGCCACTGGAAGGTTTGAACCATCCCTTGGAGCTGTAAGTATCTCAGAATAGGAGAGACTTTATGATGATCTCTGAAGCCCTTTTCAAAGCCTGCTGTATTCTTTAACCTGCTTATAAGCCAAGAATATATTTGGGGTAGTGGAAACTAGGAAAGTTTGTTAAAACCAAGTAACCAGGCAGTGATTCCTGTGTAAGAACTTGCCTGTTCTTCAAATATGTTAACTCTTACGGCGGCAGCCCAGAGCTAATGCCACTTGATGCTAATGGCTTGTAAATGAGTACTTAACAGCAGGACCTCTTGTCACTGAGCAGATAGTTCAGTTCTATAACTTCATAGATGTTATTGCATAATTGTGTATCACAGTCTTCTCTAATTGAAAATAGAATACTTTAGAAAGAGATAATGTAATCAGACAAACAAAATCAGCATGTGATACTAGTGGAAGTTGCAGGACATGCTGTGCAGAAAGGGCAGCACTCCTGCCAAAAATCTCACAGTATGAAAGGTACGAGGCAGGCTGAGGAGGTGTTGTGGTTGTCTGTTCTTTACAAGTATTTTTAGTAGTAGAATGTTTTAAAACACTTAACTTGCTATAAGTTTGAGGCTATAACTTAGCCATTTGCCAAGTTTTAAAGGCTTCTTAACTTACTTTACTAAATAATTTTGATAAAAGCCAAAAGTCAGATTCTTATTTCTCAGAATGAAAAAAAAAAAAATCTCTTGAGCAGTCCCTAAGTCAGAATTTTTAGTAGTGCTGTCTATGTATTGTCCATTTATCCTGTGAATAAACCATATCTGGAGCAAGTTACTTTCCATTAGTCTTATTGATCTGAACTTATTGAAATTGCCACACGTTGCATTAGTTTACTGTATTCACAGCCTTTCCATTCAGATATTTCATGGATACAAAAGCTCCTGGTCAGTGTAGTACAGACCAGGGAATTGCTTGTTTCACTGACAAAAGACTTCTTGTCCCTGTCCATCTGTTATTTTCCTTGTTTTGGTACAAGCTTCAGAACGATTCCCTTCATCTGAGAGGTCTGTGTTTGATTAATGTATGTTTCTATTTCTAGGGTTTACTGGGGAAAAAAGCACATTAACATGAATTGTTATCTTAAAAATTGGGGGGGTTATTTCTTAATTACGTAAGAGCATCTGAGGGGTATTTTTTTCCCAGTATTTATAATTTCAGACATTGAAATTAAATAATGGCATCTTACTCTATTTTTATTCTGAACTTTGCTGTGGTGCTTTGTACTTTGAGGTTTACCACAGGGCTGCGTTTGAAAATAAAAGCCAAAAGGAAAACGGGTTCATATGCAGAAAAATAAATTTTCCCTTATGTAACAACTCAGCTTACTTTCATGTATTTTAATGTATTTACAGTCAGGAGCTATAATGACTGTCCTTGCAGCCGTATGTACAAAGATGCCAGAAGCAAAACTAGCCATCATATTTCTTCCAATGTTCACATTTACAGCCGGAAACGTAAGTGCCTTTGAACTTCAAATAAATCCTACCCTTAAAACATTTTCCCCATGCCTCTCTCCAGCATCTGAGCATGCGTCCTCTTTGTTTGTGTTTCTAAGCTGTTAAATTTATTTTGAATGACAATACGGGTAATGGAAGTCCTGGAGACCGGTTCTGAATTATTGCAGCCTAGCACGGTCATTACACAAACGTGTAGTGAATTTAAAATTATCTTAAATTCCATCCTCCATAGGTCTGTTTCAAATCTGATGCTACGAGGTGAAAGAAGTTGGGAGGGACTCAGGTTCACCTGCCTGAGGAAACACGCATACTCATACTGTTCTTTCTGATGGGTGATGTTTTTTATAGCAGCACTTGTTATAGGCTAATCTAATACTGATACACTCTTTTTGAAGAAAAACATATCAAGATGGGAAAAACAGAATTTCACCTCTCGAGGGAAATAACATTCCAGCCCTGGAGGAATACCTGCCTCCTCATTTGGATACCATCTTTTGATACTTTTAAGAACACTGCTGGGATTAGAAATAAACTACTGAGGCTTTTCTTCATGTGTAGTACCAGGACTCCTTTTATGTTTCATTAAGTTCTTTTAAGCACATCCACTACCCCATTTAAGAAAAGCTCATGTATATCTTGGCTTACTTTAATAAGTTAATCATCTTTGGTCCACTACTTGAAGTTGTTTTACTTAAAGCAGTTAAGCTTTGTCATTTCAGGATCATGAGTTTTAATATTTTTTGTAAGTGAAGTTTACAGATTTGAACAAGTGTTCTTAGATGTAGCCTTCATGTTTTTCTTGCACTTCTGCTTGAGTGGACCTGGTTTTTTTGCACACTACCCTTTAACTGCACCTTTCCTAAAAAAGATGGCCAGGGTAGAAATATTGGCAGAGCCACAGAGAGCATTGCTATGAGGAAGTACTCGTTGCAACAGTAAAACAAGAGCAACATTGGTTGTTGCAGTATAAACATTGGATTAATTTTAGCCCTACTATGTAATTGTATTTCTAAATTTTTATGTACTCCTTTAGCCTACCTCACATATACTGTAATCGGCTTTTAAAATAAGCCAATGTAGCAATACAGCTGCTATTCTAACACATGTTTAAGGAAAGAAACCCTACTTAAAGTAACATTTCATCCTAACATTAAATCTATTGGTCTCTTTGGAATGAGGCGTTTAGTAAAATTTTGCATAATTACAGTTATGGGGGTGTGTCTCCCGAGGATGATATACCATTGCTCATGCTGTTTCTGGCCTTGGAGTTATTCACTATGATCCTGATTTTCTACCTTCCAACAGATGTGTGAGAGTGTTTAGGAGAGTGTGATGATCAATTTATATCAGATAAGATGACAGGGATGTTGCCCCACATATTCCATCCACTAGAGGGTTGTGTTTGAGAGGACAGATGCACATAAATCTAAGATGTGTCAGAATTGGTGAATGAGAATGTTGCAATTATGTATGTAGCGTGTTTTATAGCATGTACTCTTTCAACTAACTTCCTTTTTTTTTTTTCCTGACCTGAGTTTGGAAGGTAAGTGTAGCTTTAGAAATGAAGATTGGAAGAGACTGAGTATTTGAAAAGGACACATTCCTACCCTGCGCTATTCTGTAGCTGCTCATGTCTGTATTTTGACAGCACAGTACAGCTAAGAACCAAGTCTGTTGGTTTAAAACAGCTTTTTTTTTTTTACAGTGATTGCTTTGATACAAAATTTGTGGGATGTTTTTTGATCCCGAATGTTTACTCTGTGCCAGAATATGAATCTTTGTTATCAGTGGCCATTATATGCTGTGACTGATCCTGTCCATTCCATGTTCTGTTCCTTTCCAGGCTTTAAAAGCCATAATTGCATTTGACACTGCAGGGCTTGCTCTAGGCTGGAGACTTTTTGACCATGCTGCACACCTTGGGGGAGCACTCTTTGGAATGTAAGTCTATATTTACTAACTTCTGTTTGTTTCGTGTTTAAATTCATCCTATATTTTTTTCCTCTCTACTTCCTCTTATCTCTGAAGTGTTGGGGTTTTTTTTGAAAGTTGTCTTAAGTAGCATTGAAGACAACTCATGTTATCCTTGTAGTGCTATAAAATTGTGTGAAAAATCCTGTTAACAGATGCTTAGAACGGAAAGAAATTGAGCTGAACTGCCTCAGAGTGATAGATTATATGTCAGATTGTCCTGTCACCGTAACCTGGGCCAGCTGTCTCTGTCCCGCTCTCCCCAGCACGTAGAACAGAGTCACAAGGCAGAAAAGATTCTCACAAAACACAGCATGGACAAATTAAAATAACTTTAGAATTAAACAGCTAAGAAAATTTCTTTGTCTCAGTGTTTTTCCTCTAATTGCCAATTTAGAGAGATCTACAGAGTTAGTATAAGCTCAGGCCGAACTCCTTTGAGCAGCCTCTCCTCAGTGTTGCTGTGTTGTCTTTGTGTGGAGCTTTCCTAATTGGGAAGAACTACTAGCAACCAGTTTGTAGGAAACAGTTCTGCATTGTTCCATGTTTGAACTACATTACCTAAGGAGTTTTTCTCCTACTTGATTGCAGTGTTGTCTTAATTTGCACACTTATCGCTAAGCATTTTTAAACATTTTAAACATTTTACGTAGGCATTTTAAAAGCTTACCTGAGATTTAACTCCGCGAGACAAAGAACAGGTGGAGGACACTTGTATTTTGGTCTACAAACTGGTTTGCCTTTCTTTGCTATTTCTTGGCTTTGGTGTCAGTAAGTTCTGTGCCGCACAGTCTCCTTTTCTCCCCTTTTCTGGCATCACAAATGCATTTGATGTAGTCTTGCTGACTCGTAACTGCTTTCTGCCATGATGTATCTATATCAGCTTGTTCATTATAATGCAGATTCACATATTATTAAAATAGGATAGCAGCTGCAGTTAAAATTGTCTTGAGTTGACAAGTATCTTGCCTTCCTCGCCTGCATATGTTCTACCTATATGTTCTACTCTGATCATTTTGGTCACTTCATCCTAAAACAGGGCCTCTAAGACATGTTGAATGGACAAAGTATTTTCTATACGTTGCCTCACAGGCAATTATCTGCTTCAGAAGGTAGCTATATGATTTAAAGGAATGGCCAATTTACCTGGCGCTGGCTGATGGCTCATGTAAAAGTGCTTTTGTTATTCAGGACTCAGGTGTGAAGTTAGGCTCATGGGAGAACCTGCAACCTATTTCCATGCCGTTGCTTCCCCTCCCTCCTCTCCTCCATAACCTCCCTTGCTTAATCACTTATTATGTTGGTATTCATATATCAGCAGGTATAGTTCTCTATGAATGTAAATTAAGCTAGAACACTTCGATAGATTAAACCTTCATTTAGATGTTTATAGAAGAAAATTCACTTTGAACGGAATGTGACTGTTCATTATGGGACAGTTGTATTTACGTATGAGAAAAATACTTTTACTTGATGTTGTCAGTAAGGATTAGCACAAGCAACAGTACAGTTCTAACAGTCTCTTAAATGGAAATAGTTTTTTGCATCTTAAATAGAAATCATGAAAGCATGAAATTAAAGGCATGAAAACCATTCATTCTCAGGACTGGGACAAGTAAGAACACAAAGAAGTTAACTGTTAGGAGTCAAGAGAACAAGTGGCTTACTTGCCACTGCCCCTTTTAAAAAATGTTCTTTCTGGCTCAGTTTATCTTGTCTCCTATACTAAGCATTTGAGTTACTTGATTTTAGTGATCAGCCTGTTCCTCATATACAGAGAAAAGGTGCAGTGAATTTTAACTAGTATTTTCTTTCTCAGGTGGTATGTGACTTATGGCCATGAGCTCATATGGAAGAACAGAGAGCCATTGGTGAAAGCTTGGCATGAAATGAGGACAAAGAACACAGGAAAAGGAGGAGGTGGAAGGTCTAACTGATTCTAATCCTAGAGATTCCTTGTGCCCAAGTGGTATATTACTTGAAGACATGGGATTGAATTGGTTTTGAAGGTTTTTTTGCTACTCCATGCTAAGCCTCTAAGGAGCTGAGGTTTCCAATATAAACTACAGTTACAAAAATGCATATCGATAGAAAACGAACTCTGACAAAGGTGGAACAATAAAGGTTTTTATCCTATTGCGCTCTGAGGTAACAGTCTGCATTACCTTTTTTTTAAAGGAGGAATAAAAAAAGCTTTCCAATGAAGTGACCAATGAAGTGACCAAAAGCTCTGTCCATAAAACTTCAAAATGGGGTACAACTGGCTAATACTTAGGAGGATAAACGTTTTTAAAACTGAGGAAGTTAGTGGAGCACGCATCCACCCTAATGTCTGCCAGACAACACTAGGTGCTTTCCTAGAAGGCGCGCTTTAGACAGATGGGACTCAACATAAGGCTAATGTGGTGAAGTTCAGTGGTCTTTATTGTGGAAAAGATTGGATGAGATAAGCCAATGGTCTCTCTTGATCTTAAACCTGAAATACATGAAGCAGTACTGGATTGTTTGCCAAAGCGTGCATACTGGTTAATGGTCCAGCTTTATTTGTCAGCTGTGGCTTGTTCAACCTATGTTTTTCATTTCTATCTGCTTCCAAGATGCTGTCACATCTTGTTAGAATTTACTACAATGATATCTTTTTCATAATTGCATGCAGTGGAAGAATGACTTATACTGTGGGTTTGGATATTTTACCACAAGTTATACTGTGTTCTATATTCTTTCACTGCATTAGTTTTTTTATTTGTGGTTTGGGTGGGTTTTTTTTTAAAGTTGTGCTGTATTGCTAGTTTCCTTTAAGGTTTTTCAAAGAATTTTAAAACAGTAACATTTGGTTCAGAATGTGCCAGTTCTAGAAAAATAAGCAGCTTCAGCAAAAATAGATGAGGTGCTTGAGATCAGCAACACTGTAACCAGAAGTAACTACCAAAGTAAACCTGAGAGTAGTACCATGACCAATGTCCCTATTACACAAATGGAAACAAAAATTGGATTTTGAGTATGCTGCTACTCTGTGCCTGTCCTGCAAGGATGACTGCCAGGCCCCTTGCAAAGGGCTGAGGGGTCTGCCCAGATACACGCTGGTGGGTTCAAACCCGTAACTTTTCCCTGTAGGCTGAATTAGTCATTCCAGATGGACTGACTTGCCAAAGAACACATTGCATCTGTAAGAAGCAACTTGTGCCTTTTTACTTTACAACAGGGCCTTGCAGAAAATACATTTCCTGTAGGGATAAACAATACATAATGCTAAATGGCACCGGTTATAATAAATGGAGTACAAAATTGCTGTAAACGTCCTCACTGCCACAGGCCAATGCTCAAGTCAATTTTTTTCTCCCTTGGAAAATGAGACATTTCAGGATGTGTTCCTTTAAGTGCCTGGCAACTTAAACACTTAAAAAATGAAAGAGTTGGAGTATCTAATGTTCCTGTGCTCTGCTCCAAAAGCTTTCTGGCTTTCTGTTTCTAATCTGTCCCTTCTTTTCCTTTCCTACTTCCTTCTCCCATACTCAGGACAAACATGCCAGTTTTTAGGGCTTCAGCCACAGTGAAGCCCTGCCTGCAGCAGAGGGCAGCCGAACATGCAGCCAGATGTGCTGTAGAGGCAGGGAGAAGCCAGCGGCATCCGAAGATGGCCACTGAGCGGGCTTGTCAAAAGGGAGTATTTCATGCCAAAGAAACTCAAAAGCCATAGTTCACAATATTTTGCAGGTTGGTTTTATAGCTATTTAAGACTTATCTGTTGTCCCTGTCCACTTCCTTTTATTTTTTTTTCTTCTCCTCTTCCTTGCCTTACCTCTTGTCCACTCAACAACTTATCTAGTCTCTTCAACACTTTTGTGTTTGCTGAGGTTTTTTTAGAGATCCTGGCTGAAAGCAGCAGGGAGTCATACTGCAAGAAATGCAGTGCATGAACCCTGAAGGACATTCTGTTTTACAGGTCTAGAAGAATGAGCCGAGGTTACAATGAAGTTGTTCACCATAGTAGGCAGCGCCTACCTCAAAGTGTGAAAGTCATGCCCCTGTATTGCTTGCAGAGACGGGAGTCCCACTCTCATGGTCTGTTAGCCCTGCTAAGGCAGCATGGTATTGCTGCACCCTTTCCGCTTGCAGGAAGGGTGCAGGTGAGCACAGAGCTGTACGCAGGCTGACCCTTCAGAGGCAATGCCTGCACTTCTGCTGGATTCTCAGAGTTGCAGGGGCTCAAAGCTCCTGAAAAACTAGCCTGGAACTGCCAGAGAGGCTTGGAAGTCACCATGTTTTTAGTCGGTGGCTGTGGTTTGAGGGTCTCGTGCCTAAGCTTCACCTCAACTTCAGGCCTAACAGCATTCACCCTTCTAAAGGCTGTTCAACACCTGAATCTCCCTCATTTGTAGAAACCCTAGAGGTATTTTACATATATAAGGTTGTACAAAAACATTCACATGGCCAAGCAGTGGGTTTCACGTCACTTTACACCGGAGCCTTCATGCAGCATTGTCTGCTGAAGGTCACGTATCTATCGTCTTCTCTGGTCCAAAATGACTTTCAAACTGCAACGGGAAAGCCAATGCTCAAGTCAGTCAGGCAAGGAATGGCCTGGAGTTATGACAGCTCACTAGAGTAAATAAGATAACTTCCTGGCAAACAAGTGCCCTTCTTGCAAAACCTGGCATCAGTATATGCCAGTATCTCAGTATTTAGTCACACTTTTGAATGGCAAAGAAATTACAATAAAAAACCAACAACAACCACCCAAACCCAGAAAAAACAACAAAAAGAACCAACCACCTAAACCAAAACTAAGCACATGGAAAGACTTTTTTTCCTCTTTTCAAAGAGCTTATTATTGTGACTAGAAATACAATGTGGTAGTTATGTGGATGCTTGGCAGAGACATCAGCTAGTGTTTGTGTAGGAAAACAGCAATAAGTATAAAGTCATGGTTAATCACGTAGAGACACAATCCTTCATCCTTTTTCAACAGCTTTAAGAAAGTCTGCTGTGGCCTCGCCATGTTTGGGGAATATTTTCCTTCAGTGTAGTGATCTGCTCTATTGACATTGCGTTTTAGTATTAGAAGGAACTGTCTGAGCCGTCAGCCCCCGTTCCCGGCAGCAGCAGCTGTGTGGCTTTCTGACTGGATGACTTGCCTTTGTCTTACTGTTGCAGTATTTCCCTCTCCTCCCTGCCTCCCCCCTTTTAATCATGATAAATCTCTTCTAAACGCAGACAACTTTTTAATCTCATCCAGCTTCGTCTGGTTTCCCTCTCTGAGATCGCCTTTGTGCCGATTTCACCCTACAAGCGATGATGAGTGGCTGCTGAAAGCGCTCCCTGATGCCGTAGGTGGGCTCCGAGATGCACAGCGCCGGAGCTGAGCTCCGTACTGGGAAGTGGCAGGCACAGGAGAGCAGAGACATCCGATTTAGTCTCCAATGTATTTTGCTAAGTCAGGCCTAGGAACAAGGATCAGAGCATCATTTGTACTGTGCCAGTGATAACAGATGATAAAGCGAATGTTCTGTTTTCTCCCACGACTGTAAAATCCATTTCTCTTTACTTGGGAAAAGTGTTGTACATTTCACCCAAATATGATTTATTTTTAAAAATTGCTACACAGAGCAGAGCAGTTTTAAAAAAAAAAAAAAAAGAGCAGCAGAAAATGAAGAAACGTCTCCCTGTGTATTCTTAAAAGTAAAATTATGTTTGTGGGTTTTTCAGGCAACAAATGAAACGCAGCATCCATTGTCCCATATGTTATCATGTCAAGACTTCTGTGTGGGACCAAAACGTTGTTACCTGAAATTTCTGAGTCTCCTTGCCCTAACTGACACGTGGCGGGTGTGAAATCCAAACTGCTAGTGGCACCAGCGAGGGCCAAATCAGATATTTAGGACAACGGTATCATCTGCAAGGGAATTTCTTTCTATCCCTCGATAGCTGTGCTTCAAAGAGAGGCCAGACACTCACGGAGAGGTTCATAGCTGCATTTCTGTTCCTCCTCCCCACCAGAAGCAGGTGCAAATCTGGGCTGAGGTCTGAGATGCTAAGACGCTACAGATACAAACTGTTCAGCTGAAATAAAGCAGTAAATCTTAGCTTTTTGAACTCTGCTGCCTAATTAATTTCTTATTAGATCTTATGAGATAACCACCTCCAACTAGATTACTACATTCTAAAATGAGGTGCCTATCTAGTTAGGTTTAAATAGATGATTTTCTAATAGCTGGCATCTCAGTTTATCTGCATTCTTCACTTTAACAGCTTTATATTTCATAGTTTGGTGACCCGTTGGGACATTCAGCTGCTTCTGCAATAACACTCTGAATGGGGAATTGTGGAGGAGCATTGTGGCCTGTAGCCACTTATTACGCAAGATGTCAAATTTCAGAAGCCAGCCTTATCCCCGACGTAATTCTGTCAGCTTCAGCGGTTTGCGCCAGGACTGTTTGGTTTTGAACATGAATGTACAAAGAAAAGCTGTGGTTTCCAGTCTCTGGTAAACAGTAAATGATGCGGATCCTATGTTATGACGCTTGGACTGTCATCAATATTTTAAAAGTGGTCAAACTGTTGATGTAAATGGAGAAGGGGGGGTGTTAACTGGGGGGTGGTGGTGGTGGTGTTGAAACTAACGTCGCAAAGCTGCTATTGCTCATCAGGATCACTTGTTTTATAAATACCAGGTTTCGTACACAAATGCTTTCTCTAATCAGAAATGGTTACGGCTGGCTTGGCGTTACGAGGAGCGGCGGTACGCCGGTAGCAGGGCGCTGTCCCTGCGCCTGAGGTGCTGCGGCTCCGCCGGGAGCGG